ATTATTATTATTATTATTATTATTATTATTATTATTATTATTATTATTATTACTACTACTACTACTACTACTTCTAATACTGCTACTACTACATATCCGGTAGGTTACATTTGGTGCGCTGGACCTGTTAGGGAATGGGGGTTTCAAAGCTAATATACGGACGACCCGTATAACTCGTAAGTCCTCAATTATAGCGCTGAAAGAGTGGCCTGATCCGCATAAGCAAATCGCGAGGATGAGTGTAGATTCAGAATAGTGTTCAGCGTTTAGCATTTGAACTTCTCCTCTTTGCTGCGGCAGCAGGGCGTTTTGTCCTGGGGTCACTGACCCCCTGCTCCTCCATCAGCTGCATTGAAACCTTAATTGAATGACAGATGGTCAGCTTAGTGCGGGATAAAGCTCAAGAACAGATAAGACCAACACATAAAAATATGGTCAAGTTAGTACTCTTAAATATGGGCTTTGCAGGTTACACGTACTCATCATACACGTACCGAAAGGCTATTTCAGAACCTCAGAGCTCGAAATTTTATTTGAAGGAAAATTCTCTCGAGGATATTTGTGCGGCTTTTACAGAATTGCAGTGTGTTGAAGCCAGTACGTGGGGAAGTAAATACTTGCAATAATCAGTAGAAAGCGTTTAATTTAATCGTTTTCTTTAGTTAAAAAAAAGCTATTTGTAAGTTGTCATTTACTGCTAATGTGACGTTACAGACGTCTCAAGCAGATGTGTGAGGGCTTACGTGAATAAGCACTATAGGTTTTTAACGAGATTATGTTCGACAGGAGAGGTTTTCGTACGATGAAAAGAAAAAAAATCGGTTATTATTATTAAAATTTCGATGTTAATCATGAACAACATGAACTACTATTACTTTTGTTAAGGCTATTTCTACCAGGGTTCTGTCCGATAAATCTTTAGTAGCCTATGTTTTAAATTTTATGTATATTCTGACATAACTTGATTTTCGGTTATTTGTACTACATTGGAAAACGGTAATAAGATAAAGAAAAACTAACATATCATTTTTTACTTGAACTTTGCCGTAGCAAAGCACGGATGTTTTAGAGTGATGTGTGTATGAAGTAAATGAGAAAAGAGAATACAGACGTCTTTTATCTTGATTTCAGTTGTGTAACATTTATTTAAAATGCAGTGCATGAAACGCTGCTTTGTCTGATGAAAGTCAAAAATTGAAAATTACAGTGTTCCGCAGATCAATGTCTTTATATCTATTATTCATAACGTACCGAAATATGGCAGGATTGCATATATTTTGCAGAGAAAACAGAGAGTGACATATGCCACTATTAGCCTGATACCCTGAAAACCTAAAAGCATTTTCAACACAGTGACAGACAGGCAGCCTTGGTTTGCTAACAGTAGGTCAAATGATCACCTAGGATGTAATATTATCGGTGAAACAAATGCTTTTCATTGAATTTCATGGAATTTCAATTTTGTTTGGAATACCACAATATAAACAACAAGAAAACAATTGTGATCTTTATTTTAATGCTTCCATTCCCCTAATATTCTGGTGAGGAAACAAATAATAGCAACATTAGGACCAACAGGGTCTTGTCCAGTCACCCCAAAGTTCAATATATATGCATCACATATTAAACGCCTCTATTGTTAGAAACCGTGAGTTTAAATGCATATAAAGCTAATTTCTGTTTGCATTTAGCTTGTTCTAGAGAAAAGCACATATTTCCGCTATTTTTTGTGTGCAAGTGCCGACCCTTTAAAATCTGCATAACAGTTGCGCTAAAACAGGGATGTTCCTCCCCAGACACAATCATATACAAATCCTTGAATTTTCCCTCAATTAAGAATCAACAGCCGAACAAACAAAGGCCTTGATGGGGAGAAGTAAATGCAAGCTAATGCAGAGATAGCTGACATCAACTTCCGTTAGACAGCTATTACAGATCGAACCTTTCGATTGTAAGTGAAACAATTTGCATACTGATTCCCTTTCATAGCCTCGCAGATCCATAACAAGCCAGCCAGCTATTCAAATGCAAGTAGCATCCCTAAATGCAAGGATAGACCGGCCAAAAAGCGCTGCCCTACGAGCTAGGGGATAAGAAGATCCAGGATTTTTTCGCTGGATGTTGGCTGTTTGATATTGGAAATGGTGGCGGAAGAAAATGATCTTTTCTCCGGACGCAGGGCTGCGGCGTGGGGGCTCCGGACCCCGCGGAAGCACGGACGGAGCGTGGCGAACTCAGCTCTCGGCGAGACTGTTGACTGACATTTTTAATGACGCTCACTAACCCGCACGAAAACCGAACAATAAAAAAAAGCTAAAAGAGATGGACAAGTTCGAGTCTTTCACATGAAATTATGCAGATAATTTTTGCTTGGGGGCAAGAATGAGAGGCGTCCAGCGGCGGACGCTAAAAGATGCAGCCTGCCACGAAATCCTAGGATCCTAGGGGTAAGCATACCTAACAGGAAAGCCAGGAGAAAAGGAGAGCTGGAGGGGAAAAAAAACGCCAAAGGATGCAGTGATCAGAACTGGTAGTTCAAGGAATGCAGCGACATTTGGCACCCAGCAGAGTTTAGTGGACTTCCAAACAAGCTTCAGAGCTCTGCAGAGGTCAGTCACAGCGTCACGAGCTCTCGGACCTACAGTCGCGCTGTAGAGTCGTCAGTTCAGTGCTGCTGTACAGACCTCGAGTTTTATCGCTGTTTAAAGAAGTCGAGGGGGGGTTGGGGCAAAGCCTGTTAATAGTTACAGGGACTTTGCTTAGAATGATAAGCGAATTTCGGCATGAAAACATTTACCTTTTTTTTTTTCAAATAACAATATTCACCACGCGAGGAACTGGTGATGTTCTTGCTGATGTCGCTTTTCATTATTTTTTTGTAGCCAACAAAATATGCCGGTAACGTTGTTAAATCGCGACTTCGTTGTTAATAACACAGGTCTTTCAGATCTTTCAGAAAGTATTGTGGACATAAAAAGGCATGTTTTCTTTCTCCTTTAAAAGGCTGTTCTATATATATATACAGTAACAAGAACACATTGTTAAGATATAAAATGCTCTTTGTGTTTCGCAATTCACTTTCAATGTAATTGTAAGCAATGTGGTGGTGTGGTGTATAAATGAAGATTTACAACCCGAAAGGGGATTAAATTGACCACTTTCGTTTTGGTTGTTTCTCTCTTTTTAATTTATCCCAGGTTTATGAACGATATTTATAAGGCGTGATTTCTTTCATTTGATACGAATAATTATTGATTAAACTTTAAGGTTTTAATCTTTAATTGTATCTCCTACGCTGGGAATATGTTTTATGTGATAAAAAGCAAAATTAGAAATCACTGAGATGCCCCTTTACGTTCGAGAACAAAATGCAAGGAATGAGCGTCTTATTAACAGCGTGTCATGTTCTGCCCCGCATTTCTGCTCACTCCTTTTCACTTCAAATAGCCTATGACTATTGCCTGTATGATTAGATTGAGCTTACGAAAAAATAAATAGCAGAGATCTTCGAGTTGATCTATTTAAATAGAATACAATTTAAGTAAAACACAACGCAATAGAGCCAATTAAATGTCAGATGATGTGTATTTGATGCTAACTTAATATTAAGTAAAATGTGGCATGTGAACGAAATTAAAAGTGCCAATGTTATTTATATAACAATGAAATGATCGAGTTTCCAGATATCATATTTTTAACGTTTAATTTTTTTTCTACAGCTGAATATGTAGCTCTCGGACTTATAAATTAAACTTTCACATTATATGTTACAAACAAGAAACTCAACAGTTTGTCACCTACCCTTGTAGACGTATGCATGCAGAAGTTCACTCAGGTACTCTTTAAACAAGCAGTTGCTATTTACTTCAGGGAATTCAATAATTTGTTTGACATATATTTATCTAAAGTATTGTAACGTTCAAGCAATGGATGTGTTTCAATTAATTTATTTTTCCATATCAACCCAAGTGAAAATTCACGTGAAACGATAGAATATGGGTTATGCATTGACGTTCATTATTAGTCTCCAATCAGAGTAAACAGAGTAAAGGAAACGAATGACTAGAAAGTTCCTGAATTTAACTAAATGGAAATTCGCATGTAAGTGTCCTACGATAGCTGTGCAAAGCTGTTACACGTTTCAGTTCATGTAGATGAATTTTAAGCTATATATTGTGAATCTTAATTTAATTTTTATTGAGGCCATATGTTTCTCATCAATGAGAAACAGTTTACAGAGACAACACGGTATGTTTATACATTTTGAAATATATTTACTGAAATATATTTACCGTGTGTTGTATGCTATTTAAACTTGTTATGGAAAAATCATGTGAATGACTAATAGCTTCAAGTAATGGCATTAAAGAAGTCTGGGTCTTATCCTTTCAATACACAGTCACAGAGTAACAAGGGTAATAAAACTGTGTTATCCAAAACGGAGAAAATCTAGAAATGTCTTAGGCAGATAGGTTGACTTCATAAGATAAAGCCTGACGTAACAATTTGCCATGGCCCAACACGACCTTGTTATAAGTGACGTTTTAATTGGCTTATCAACTCGCGTTCTGAATCACATTATCTATGAACCCGTAGTGTTAAACATTGATAGACACTTGTTAACCGGGTAAAAAAAAAACTGTAGATACAGTACATACAGTATAATACGTTTGTTTTATTCAGAATGCATAACTAAATCACAAATATTAATTTATCAGTCGGGATTGTGGCTTCAGTGAGTAAAATAAACGATTCGGACCACACGTCCAGCAACGAAGTCTTATTATAGGCTAAAATGAGTTATGTCAAATGCAATTAATCTTTTTAAAGTTTACTGGAATTAAAAAGTTTTGTGCACAACATTTCCATTTCCCAAATTCAAATATCATGTTATTTAAGACGTGTCTAGTTATTATTACTGCCATATTAAAACGAAATCCAATTACGCAAGTCTATTCGTATTATATTTTCGATTTTATCCAACATTATATACAAAAAACTTATATTCAAATAATTGAGCTATTATATGGAGACTGATATTAGAATAAGTAGACTATTTCCGTAAATATTAGCAATTTACTTGATTGATTTATAATACAGTAATAGTTAAAACCCCATATTTAAACATTTGAAAAAGATAAGATCGTACTTCGTTGCTTATCTACATTTGGTGTGAAGAGATCTCTTTAGTGTTCATAGATCCGTAAACTGTACTGAAAACTATGCAGCCTATTTAAAGTTTCTATGACATTTTTTTAAGTATTGCAAGTTTCTAAAACTTTTTTTCGAGCAACTTGTGCGCTTCTCGTGAAGCTGACAGGTGTAAAATAGGCTTAGATCTCCTCTTTCTTTGGCAGATGATGTAGATCCTTCAGAAAATAAAACTCCTGCATTTAGACATCTTGATTAACACAGCAATAATTATTTAGCTAAATAATTAAGTCATTATTTAGCCTTTTAAACTATATTATTTTAAACAGTTTTTAATAGTACATAATAAAAAATATCACCACCATTTTTCTGGTAAGACCTGTGACTGCTGAAAACGAGCTCGCGCCTCAGGTTGGGTAAAGGGCACTCTGTATCTTAATGCTGAAGTGCAGAAAGGTTCAGAAATGCTTAATCGCAAAATGTTAATAAATGTATTTTAACACAGAGGGACGAGCTAAAGACGTGCACTGTATTTTTAAACGTATGGGTTTTATCTGAGTGTGCCATCAGAAGTTCGATGTCACCAAAAACTTGGATTAAATCACAAATAATACAGTGAACAAAACATTTAAGCATATTTGTCTTTTTTTCATCAAAGCACAAAAATAAGTTATTACAAACTTGGTAGTCTTTTTGTAAAACACTAGCTTTGGTTTCAAAATCAGTGGATTTTATTTACCCATGTACAAATAGGTTTATTCATTACTACGGTCAAGTTATCGGTATGCACACATAAATATCTTAAGGTGTTTCTGCAAGCTTATATACTTTTTACTGATAGCTTTTCTGGGTTTGTTTAACTTTTGTTCCTCTCAAAATGTAGTCCAGATAACCAGTTTTTTTGGAACAAATCAAATAATAGAACTAAGAAAATATTTGTAATGACGTAGATATGAAATTCGTGCAGTGTGAGATTGAGAAAGTCTTAAACTCGGTTATTAAACTGAAATTCGTAATTGAAGGCAAACGTTTTAAAATATCTAAATATATAAATATATCCTCTTTATTTCTCAAAATAACTTTGCAATATTGTATTAGAACCTTAAGTACTACATACAAATCGATAATGGTTTAATTCTTCTCGCGTGTTATTAACGTAAACAGTGTTTTGAAATGAACATAGTGGTTAGAATCTGAGCACATCGCGGGCCTGTGTTTTCGTAATGTTCTATGAGCGGTTCTTTCCATTTATATCCTTTCCAATTCAGATTCAGATTCAGATTTCCAATCACTTAATAGCATTCTAAATGTTTACACGATAAACAATAAATGTGGTTAAATAGCGTTCCCAGGGTGCTGCATAAATTAGTTTAAGGAAAGAAAGTGTTACGTTGATTTTATAGTGTAAATTCTACGTTACCTTTAAAGAGGATATGACTTCCTATAAACACCGGAAGACAAAATCGTAGAGTAATTCAGATATTTACTTATACGAATCTATACAAAATCTTTAAATTCTATAAGATGGGGGCAAATCTTAAATACAGCGAAGTCAGCTATTGATAGATATGCTATAAATACATTATGGCACTGTCCAGATCGAAATTAACACTTCGTTACCATAAGTCGATTCTGTTAAGTGAATAATCTGCCAATCTTCTCGTTTATCAACGATATTCACCTAAACGTTTCAGTAGTTATTATTGTTTACTGAGAAATCACTGCTCTTGCGTATCACACACGATCAACGGTGGTTAATGTATTATTACATTTTTGGAATTATTGCAATATCTTAAATGTAAAACGACCACTTGCCCCTTTTTGATTTGTACTTTCACGATGAGTTGAATTTTCGGATAAATGACGGCTTTTCATACTAAAATAGTATAAATTAATTTTAGTTGTTTTTATTATATTTATACATTTTGAGTATGATAAATAACATCGTTTTTGTACAATTTAATACCTAGATATTTGAGGTCAATGATTAGAAAAATATATAATTTTGTAAATGGGGAAGTCTTCTGTCTTTTCTGCCATTAACATCATTAATACGAGCTATCAATAACTTTGTCATTTTGCTGTAGAGTCTCAAAGTATTGATCCACACAGCAATTTATCTCTGCCATGCAAGACATGGAATAATTTTCGCATTATAGCAGCCTGGATTTGCTTTTAATTCATATTTAAAGCTACAAGTGACTCCGTGGAGTTTCTCGCAAAAGACCAGAGGCGCCTAATTAATAATATCTTTGAAAAGTAGAGAGGCATCGGCGTATTAATAATTAATATATCTGGGCCTCTTTGCACATAGCCCTTTTAAGAATTTAAAATTAGAAGGCCGTTTGTGGAGTTCTTGTACTTTTGTTTTCAATAATACAAAGCTTTGAGTATGTTTTTTTTTTCATTTTGTCATTTCCCTGCTTACCACAATTAAGAAAGCTTTTAAAATCCAGTACATAACATTTCCTACTAGTGTACCTGCACAATTAGGTACGTTTATCATTTAGAAATAGTACTCCTGCGTTTTTCAAAAACTGCATCTACTACAGATCTCCATTGCCTTTAAAAAAGTAGGAGGCTTTAGTTAAGCCTTTAAATAACAGGCCTGCATGATTCAAATTTTCATAAGCCAAACTTCTCTAAACAGTAAGGACTCATGTTTGTGGGGGGTCTATTACAGACGATTTTCGGAAGCCTTCTGCTTGAATTCCTGTTGATAATACCTGTATTTATACCAATTAATATCTGGCACAATAATTGTCACGCGCCTTTTCCTTTCAGTCTTTCTTTTGAAGAGTGTCTTTAGTATAAACCAAATAATGCTTACACCCAGGGGCCATTGAATTCGGGCACAAAACACACGAGACAAACTGGGGTTCTAACACAAATCAGGAACGCTTGAGTGAATCCCAACAAAAAAAACATTTTTTTTTCTTTTGCAAGTCACAGAGACACGAGCGCGAATGAAAAATATCGACCACTATGAGAATGCGAGCAGATGCATTTTTTTTTCTTATAGCTACCGTAGAAAAGATTTGATATTGGGAGCTTTTTTTTTGGGGGGGGGGGGGGGGGTGCTTTGATAAACATAAAACTCAAGCAGTACGCAATATATAAACTTGTTAAAGACCATTACTAAAATATTATTTTACTTCACCGTTCTTTAATGTGTTTAAACAGCTTAAACAGTTTGGGGGATTCGTTTTCATAATTGGTCAAATTAAATTGAAAGTATGCAGCGATGTCAATAGTTACCTTGCGGGAACATCGATGATTGTGTGTGATAATCTAAACTTTGATAGATGTGCATGAACAATATACTTGCGCCTTTTTGCTAGAAACGAAGTCTCAATGTGTTGCTCTTTACTGCCCTACTCTAATTGTGAAGTAATTTAAGCTTGTGGATTCTGCAGTTTTATTTTTTTTTTATTATTATTTCAAGACGCGGTTACAGTGATTATTCTCTCCCCCCCCTGAAATCCTCCTTCCTGTCTGGCCCAAACATCGACATTAAATTCTCGTTTAGTGACAATTGAACTTTTTTTTTCTTTTACACGATAAACGGAATTTCATTCTTCTCGACCCTGACAGATGTATGTGTGTTTTGTCACCGAGCAGGTCCTCAAGAAGCTCAACAGGGGAAAGTCTAGAAAAGTTAATCTGTTCCACTGGCAGCTGTTGGCTTTTGGAGTCTTGAAGCGTCACCTTTGACATGTCCCCTTTTTAGAGAAGGAGGCTCCAAGCACTGACCACTGCAAGCTGTCACCACAGAAGAGGGGGGGACGCCTTCCCTGCAACCTGTCCCCAACGTCATCAAAAGTTACCACACTGCCTGGTATTTGAACAAAGGCCCGTGGGTCACTATTTTCAATAGGGCCCAAACAGATGACAAAACGACAGCGCACATGTATTTTTTTATTCTTCGTTTTCTGTTGCCCATGTTCTTTTAATTATTATTACATATTTTAACGGCCTATTTTTACCTCCAGAGTGTTTTTCCGTAGCGTATGTAGACACAGAACCTCACAAAAACTACAGTTATATTACATTTACTGAAGAAAAATCAATGGTCTTCTTTTTGCTTTTTTTGGTTGCTTTTTTTAAACTAAAGATTCATTGGAGTATTTTTCAGTTTTGTCAATGACTGTAAAAAAAAAACTCGTTCATTACATGTTATGTCTGTATTTACGGGCAATCCAAAAATGTTGCATTGTAAAAATGCGTTGTTTGTACATGTAAACAATCAAAAGCATTTAGACTGTTCAGCATAGCCTTTTGTTTATTCATTTGATTAAAATGATTTCTGTCTTCCTGGAGCAATAAAAGAGTGACCACATCATTGAAGCGCATGTATGTCGTTTTTTTTTTCTTGGTGAAGCAAAGGCACACGAAGATGTGTGTTGAAACAGAAAAACAAATAGGCTGTACCATGGTTCGACCATGCTGGAGTCTTTTATCAGATGTTTTCTGACATACTGCAGAATGTTTATCGGAGACGATTCGCTTATTTATTTTGTGATAAGATTACAATTTCGCATCAGTTGCGTGTCCATTGTGGCTCAGCCCTCTTGGTCAGCTTAAATCAATTTGACCAATTCTCTCTAGATCTGTTGAAATGCATTCAAATATCATAATGTGCTGTGTCATAATTCAGTATCTCCCGCGGCTCTAGTGGGGGCGAGGAGCAGTGTTTTGGCTGGCTCGGCTCGTTATTGTTAAAGGTTGAACAATAGAAGACACATCTGCCCTGGGTTTTCCGAAGGGTAGGGTATCTTAGCTGGTCAGCTCTCAGAACAACATCTTAGGCAAAGAACGTTTGATTTTCTTTGACGTTAGTCAATCTTAAAATTAATACTACGATATGTCTTTTTAGGTGAATCCTAGGTAGATGGTAGTATTTTTGTTTTAGGTCTGTAAACAAAGCAGAATCAGATGGTACTATAATTAACGAGCTTTCAAATACGTCGCATCCATTTAATAAGAGGGTGAACGGGAGACATTGTGCACTCACTATCGGAAGATTTGTTTTTATTTTCTTCTAAAGAAAGCGGCAGCGCGTATACTGAGCAGTCGTGAGCTCAGTCTGCCTGTCCCTGTGGCTTGTGGATAATTGTCAGCACGTTTCGCTTTTTCTAATTTGCTCCAAATCTGTCCGGCTCTGTATGGTTGGTTAAATGGGCTGCTGTGATTTCCCCGCCTTGCATTGAGGGGAACCCGGAAGTTAATATTAAAATACCATTTAAGGAGGCTCATAAAAATTATGATGGAGGAAGCGCCCTTTGGTTAATGAGAAATAAATTTCACTCTAGCTGTTAGTTAACACTTCCTTTGGGGGGGTGGTGCTGTTTTCTGAAACGTTTTTCTATCATTTCATATTTAAAACCGAGTTTAATTTAACAGTTCTCAAAAGTTAGCAATGTGATACACAGGTTTTGTCCGATGAAATATTATGTGAATAACCTCAAGTTATATATAACATATATAAACAGTACACATTTACTGTCTATATTATTCTGTCACAATTATGTAACCTACGAATTTAAAGTTTAAACGTGCTTCTCATGGTCAATTTTCTGCTCCTTTCTGGAATTATTTTAAAATGATCAGGCTTCTCCTTCATATCCTTAAGCCTTTATCCCGAGAGGAATGTTCTGATTCTCGTCTGAGATTGTATTTTTTCCTCTTATCTGAACAAGGTCCAATTCAAGGTGATGTGCGCCAAAAAGAAACGGTTAAATTATAGAATTGAACAGCGGAGCGGCAGGTAGCCACAACCTCCTTAATAACCGTGGTGACGTCTCCCTGGAGGAGTGGTTTGCCTCGCCGTGTGTGAATGTGTGTGTGTTGTGGGAGGGGGCGCGCTGCTCCTAGTGCGCATGACCCTTCGGTTGTAGCTGCAGCAGCAGAGCTGTGGCGAAAGAAATCGTAACAGTACGAGACATGGCTAGAGATGGCGAGGGATACGATCAGACTGCGATCACGGCTGCTGATGCTCTTTTAGACGAACGGGGGCCTTAAAAATTATACCAAAAATAAAAGAAAAAATATTTTAAAAAAACAACAACAACAACAAAAAAAAAACACCATCTGATTTTCATACAGAGAAACATCCAGCACGAAAGAAGGAAACAAAAAACCGCGCTTGTCTGATGTGAAGACTTCTCCGGACCTTCCTCTCACAGATCAGATAGATGTTTTGTCCACAAGCTTGCACGAATAATAATGAATGCTCAGCTGTCGATGGAGAATATTGGCGATCTGCACGGGGTGAGCCATGAGCAGGTGCCAACTACGGCTGACCTGATGAGCAACAGTAGCCCTCATCACAGAAGCTCAGTGGCCCATCGCAGCAACCACTTGTCGGCCCATGCGCGCTCCATGGGCATGGCATCCATCCTGGATGGCAGTGACTATCATCACCACCGCCCCCCTGACCACGCTCTGGCTGGACACCTGCACCCTACCATGACCATGGCTTGTGAGGCTCCCCCGGGCATGAGCATGAGCAGCACCTACACCACTCTCACTCCTCTGCAGCCACTACCTCCCATCTCGACCGTCTCGGACAAGTTTCCTCACCACCATCACCACCACCACCACCATCCTCACCAGCGGATCCCGGGCAATGTGAGTGGCAGCTTCACCCTGATGAGGGACGACAGGGGACTGGCTTCAATGAACAATCTCTACACCCCTTACCACAAGGATGTAACAGGGATGGGGCAAAGCTTGTCTCCCTTGTCAGGGTCCGGGCTGGGGGGCATTCACAACTCCCAGCAGGGGCTGCCCCCGTACGCTCACCCAGGAGCCACTATGCCCACAGAGAAGATGCTGACACCCAATGGCTTTGAAGCCCATCACCCTGCCATGCTGGCCAGGCATGGTGATCAGCATATGTCTGCTTCTTCAGCGGGCATGGTGCAGATCAACGGGATTCACCATCACCCTCACGCCCACTTAAACACCCAGAGCCACGGACAGGTGCTGGGTTCCACCAGGGAACAAAATCCATCTTCTGTGCCTGGATCGCAGGTCAACAATGGAGGCAGTTCAGGGCAAATGGAAGAAATCAATACCAAAGAAGTCGCCCAGAGGATCACCACTGAGCTTAAAAGGTACAGCATCCCCCAGGCCATCTTTGCACAGAGGGTGCTGTGCCGATCGCAGGGGACCCTCTCTGACCTGTTAAGGAACCCCAAACCTTGGAGCAAACTGAAGTCCGGACGGGAGACATTTCGGAGAATGTGGAAGTGGCTGCAGGAGCCTGAATTCCAGAGGATGTCAGCTCTCAGGCTCGCAGGTGAGCGAACAATAGGTAATTGACAATTACGTGACTATTCACATTGTTTCTGTTACCGTTATTGAGCTATACGTTGCAGCTTGAACCGTTGCCATTCTGCATCTCAGAAATACTTTAAAATAAACCGTTGTAATTTGGTTTTGACTGGAGTATTTACTCCCATAAGAGAGCAGTTCGTAATGCTACACAGTCAACCAATTCGGCCGTGTTTCTTGATATAAAAAAGGCATATGGAAAAATAGCACTTACATTCCTTGCCGATATTGCACGGTGTAGTGTGTGCTGCAGCCTTTCTCAGTTGTATAGCTGGTCTTTTTCAAAAACCTGAGGTTATGTTTTCAATTTGAAATATCGACCCATGGGTTCTTTGTAAAGTGATACTGCAGCTATAAATCGTTAGGATTCTTCTTGTTTTATACACCGTGAGTAGTCTTAATAAATTGTTAAGATACGTGGGTTTGTAAATATTTTGTAATAAGCCATCATCTTTGTAATTTGCAGCTGTAAGTGACGGTGAACACAGCTTAGCGATAAATTATTTAATCATAATGCAAGTGCAGTAGCTCATTCTCCACTTGTACAACATATTTGTGTTCTACTCAGACTTCTGTTGCTCTATTGTCTTGAACCTACAGTGCGAGAGGAACGCGGTTTGAGTTTTTCCCTTTTTTTTGGTCAGATACATAATAGCTATTACAATTGTATTTTGTGCCGATCATTTTTATTATTTTAAAATTCCTACAGACAAAGGGGGTACAAATCAATTGAATTCAAAACGGTTTAAACAGTATTCTGGTCATCCACGTAACTGACTGTTTAAAGAAAAAGGTGAATACTGTCCATACAGTGTAAAATACGAAATGTGTGTTTTTTGTGTTTTGGTGTGATGACAAAGGGTAATTCGGTGCTGTACACTGAAATCAGTGTTTCACGCTGTATTTTTAAAGGTTTTGTGGTTTCTTTGTTATGTTTATTTTATTTTTGTGGGATTTTTGTTGTTTTGCGAGTGTGGAAAATGTTTGGACCCAGTGATGTGGCCTGAGTGAGGTTTTGTTAATTAACTGATAGGTCTCCATTAATTTGTCCCTAGAGAATGAGACAGTCAATCTGAGCGAGAGTCAGGAGCACTGATCCGTTTCACAGACAGGCAAAGAGAGCCATTTCTCCTTCAAGTGCACCAAGGAAAGATAATCTGAGACCCAAATGTTCCTCCATGCCTTTATAAAACCTGGGTTTCATGTATAGCTTTTATCGTGTATTAAATTGCTGATTATTATGTAATTCTCATTTTCTTTTTACTAAACTGAACATATATGTTATGCAATTATATTTTAAAGTAAAAAAAAAGATTAAGGTAAATCATATTTGCGCGAATTTTGCATTCAATACCTACATAATATTTGAAACGTCAAGTAAGAATTTATTGCCAATTACTTTTATTAAAGTATTTTCCTGTTTTGTCCCTTGGTAAATTGGGGTTTTAAAATAATAACCCAGAAGTACACATCTAAATGAAAGACGAATCCCCGAACGGCGAAGCAAAATACTGGCTCTTAAGAATTAACAACTTTTGTTGGCCTGCTAATCTGGGAGTATTTTACGACAATTTGGTCGACCTGCGTCCCCGTTTATTTGCGCGGATCAATACTGGAAACAACCACTTGAATTAGAATATGTTGCTGGAAACCCTTCTCTGTGTTATCTGAAGGTAAACGCTGCCAATTCAGTCATACTGCTGCACTGTTACATAGAGAAACAAAAAGGTCAAGTTCTTTTCAGTAAGAAAAATGTCCTCACAGTGCCTCTTACTGCGGATTGTTTTGAGAAATACGACCATAGTTTCTAAATCATAAACCTTTTCTAAAGTACATATGCATATTTATTTTTTGTATATCTACAGTCATCTTCAGTTGTGTATTTAATATGTCCTCCAAACATTGTTCTTTATCTTAGTTGATTCTTCTCTCATCTACCCTACTTAGACCGCGGAGTTATAAAAGTTACATGTAATATATTTAATAGGCCTCCAATTAATGTATTCATCATGTGATTTAAACAATACCAGTGTGTGTAAAACCGCCGGATAAAGTCTCGATGCTTTCGAAAAGAAAGCAAATTCCATGTATACACAATTCAATGTGTAGACTGTAATGCAATTGGGTATTAACACAATTGATACTTGATAAAAAATATTTTTATAATAAAATAAAGTAGAAATAAATTATCCAAGACTACACACTGAACAACACAATGCTCAATTCTTGCTAGGAGCAGACAGAGGCGGAGTGTTTTTATTGATCGGTTATAAAGCGTTCAGAAAGTATGTGATCGGCGTACTAAGAAGTGAAATATAAAATTAATATTGATTATTTAAATTCTGCGTTTTCGATTTTGCCAGGATAAGAGAATGTTTCTCTGACTAGAAATAGATACGCTGTCTTCTTCTTTTCTTTACTCTTAAGGAATTACCATAGACTTTTACCGCCCTGTGTGCTCTTTGGAAGGCTATTCTTAAACTGCTTTCAAATTTTTCTTGATGTCATGGTGCATATTTGCTCCTACTATCGTCTCACTTAATGATCCCTGTGCTTACAGGAGTACAGTAAGAGAATATTGAGATCTTCACACTTTCTGAGCAGTCTTTCCGAATACAAGCCGCGCCGCATGTGCTCTTTAAGTCACCTTCATTGTGTTGCTATCTTCCGTCAGGTTTAGTCTTCACTTCAATGCAAGTACATACCTGTACTATTGCTTTGCATATATTTATAGTATACAAACATATTTTATATTCTTTATTTTTTAGCCTATGTTAAATGGATTGTGTATATACGGTATGCTAAAAAATATTAATTCGATTTCAGCCTTTCTTAAAATACTGATTTTATATTAAAAATATTTCGTTGTGATCAGAAGAGACCTATAACTTAATTTCCAGTATAGATAAGTATTTTTTTTTTCCTGAACAGACCATAGGGTTTTATAGCCAAATTACTGCTAGCGCTTTTAAAATGTTGTTTTCGGTTTAATCCACCCCACAAATAAAATAAATTAAAAGAATAAATAAGTAAGTCGATGTACAGGTACATTACATTGCTGTGGTGTGCCACTGCATGAGGGAACTAAGTCCTATTGTCTAAACAGAAGTTATATTTGAAATAATTGTAGAAGAAGGAACCCTTGACAGGTTTCCGACACAATCGATTTTTATGCCATCGAAATGAGGTTTTTCGACTATGAGTTAGAATAAATGTTTGCCCGAATGTGTTTTTGTCAATTAATGGAAAATATTACAAGGTGGGTGTTTTATTAGTTACCATAGGAATCAGAAATTATTTTTTCATGTGTTATGTATTAATAAAAAACTAAAGATGGCAGGCTATTGGCCTACTGCAGATGGTAGTAATCATAGTTTTATTATCGAACTTGGCTTTTGATTTAATTTGCTTTTGAGATCTCTTTAAATAAAGATAGGAAATATCCAGGCCTCTTTTTAAAAATATAAAGAAACACAGATAATAAAACAGTTTCTAGACAGTCCTGCTTTGGTAACGACAGGTTTGTGTTTCTATAGCAGATTCTTAAGAAAATACTCCATATATGACTAAAATAAGCTGAGTACGAATTTTTTTTTGAACAAAGCAAACTGAAGATCAAGTGGATTTTACAAATGATTGGTCTCCCGTGCAGGTACGCACCGGCATATATACAGTATACATTCACACAGACAGACATATAATGGTATAGCGACTTTAGCGTTTTCCATCGTGTGTTTTCGATGGCTTACAGTGGCTCTTTACAATGTTTTACTTTGGACGTGTGAAGTTATCTTGGTATTCTGTATAATGATTTAGCTAACAAATAGTAACCATCTGATCAGTGGAGTTTGAGGGAGCACGATAAAGGCGAGATACAGAGCCTGTTGTTACAGGCGATTGTGGATCAGTGCTACAGTCTATGGGAAAATACCCCACCTGCGAGATTCCTGGCTGTTCTGTTGTCACCGTGTCCTTGTAAACTGTTTGATTTATAACCAGCTAATACAGAGCCTCATTTGCTTTTTTGTTAATATTTATCTAAACTGGAGACATTTGAACAGGCTGTTTTCAAAACAGCGTTTAGAATATTACTTTAATGACCGTCATAGAGGCATTCAAATCCGTGATAAATATTCTGAGAAACCCCGCTAGAGCTTGCTTAGGGAAGAAAAATCTATGTGAATCACCAAAAATTACAATAGTTTCGAGAATTAATTATTAAGCTTGACTGCAGGTCCTACTCGACTAACTTTCGAAATATGACTGCTGTGATGAAATTGGTGGTGCATTGGATTCTTAGACTTTGAAAGCACAAAAATCTGCAGACATTTGGCTGGATTGCTGACCAAAGGTCAATGAGTAATGTAATGATATTTAAAGTGTCAAGTGATTAAATCATGTCCAAGTGATTGATCGACCGATTGATAGATCGATTGGTTTAAGGCTAAAAAATATTTTAATTACCAACAATGTAAATAATTAGACAACTTCGCATTCCAGCCTCGTAAGGCAGCAGAAGTCCAGCTCGTCTCCGGGAATGCTTTGTTGTTTGAAAATGATAAATTCATAAATGTGAAAAGATTACTCGCTTTCTAATTCTGCATCAAGGCATGAAAACTCGTTATCTCTTTCTTGTTATTTTCGTTTGGAAAATGATTCCAGTGTGTTTGCATATCGTTGGCCTATATCAGTTAATAATTTACGGTACTGTAGGCGAGAATCGCGTTGAGGAAGTTTGTAGGTCACGTCTGCCATCTATCGTCGTTGTTTAGGTACTGCACAGAGATTTACACAAACGCATTTCATGTGTGATCGTAATCGTGAAGGTAGTCTTCATTAAAGCAGAAAAATGGTGGAGAATTCATTGAAAGAATCCATTACGTTTCCTTCATTGTGATAATTTGTTCTCTCGTATTCCTCCTTTCACTCGATGATAACAGTCCAGTCTTGGTTTCTATGTAGACTATCTTTCAGCACCACGGAGAGGTCTTTTTGTCAATTGTAGAAAAGAAGCACACCGTGTCTGGTTTCACTGAAATCTCATCTCCTGTCAGACAAATCCCTGTCCAGCATTTCCGTTCTAAAATCTAGAGTATGATATGATTACCTGCAAAATAGAATTTCAACTTTACACGTCGTTGCAATTGCAGGTCTCTACGCCTTTAATTTTGAATTGAATACCACGATGGGTCATGATGTAGCATTGCTGTCTCGCAGCGCAGGGGATTGATCTCAATTCAGGACTTGGAGTGCTATCTGCGTGGAGTTTGCATGTTCTCCCCGTTGTTGTGTTGATATCCTCTGGTTCCCCTGTTTTCCTCCCAAAGTCCGAAGACATACGGGTAGCTTACTTGGCTTCAGGAAAAAATGGCCCTGGTGTGAGTGTGTGCCCCGTGATTGTCTGGCGTCACGTCCAAGGTGTAACCCGCCTTGCGCTCGTTGCTTGTCGTGATAGGTTCCGGGAGAATGAATGGGTGGGTCATGTTTAAAATCACCATCCTGTCTCGAAGTGTATGGCAGTTCGTTAAAAACTAAAATCCAGACACCAGAGGACCTTTCTGTCTAGAACTACTCGCCACGACCGCGCTAAAACGGTCCGTTAACCCCGTAGACCTCACGAAAAGTAAAGAGCATTTGGACAAAATGAATTAGGAAAAAGTTACAGACTGAAAATTTACCACTGATTTCGCACTTTCACTGATTTTGCTTAATAATTGGTTCACATAACAGTCTGTTAACGACGTTATCATGGCGATAACAGCTTATTTTGGTGAGGAAGATGCGCTAGGAAAACTTTGGGGTTTAGGGTTTAAAGAAAAACATCGTATCGATGCAGTATGTTTCGTGTGTACTCATTGTTTAACATTCCTAATTAAAACTGATAGGTAGAATGACCCGTTAACCAATTTATAGTTAAGTATTAAAAGTGTAGTTGCCCTTGTCTTACTGCAACGGATACCCAGGTAATACACGATATTGATAACAGGTGACAAGCAGTGAATTACGCATTGCAGTTGTAAAACCGTCAATAAAACTTGTGGTCACTCTATCTTTCAGACCTTAACATTTATCATTAATTTTCATCAAACTGTACAGGAACTCGATACATATTAATACAATACTTGTGTTAAAACACACATTATACACGTTTTACACATTACTACAATTTTTGTTGTTAAAACGCGCCATAATCCTGAAGAATGATCCCTGTATGTTGGAATAATTTATTCCCTACGTGAGTGCGTTTATTCAACATTTGTTTTAACCAAACGGGACGCTTCAAATTTTCAGTAACCTGATTGGGAGAATTGTTTTTTACAAGTAGACTGCCCCTAATTATTGGTAGCTACGTGAGAAATACAAGTATATGTCATATATATTTCATCAGGCTACATCATTAGAGCTGGATGGTTGCGTTTTGGCTCTCTTCTCAATCATTTTCGATGTTCATCAATGTAGGGCTGCTTCGATTTGACACACACATCCCTTGTTGTATTGCCATTTGTATGTTGTTGGTCCTATTTGTGCTACGTTGTGTAGTGTATCTGTAAACAGTGACATCAGTGTACCTAGACATTCCTCTTTACAATGATACCTGTCCGGTAGATAACTGTCAGATTATGGAAGCCAGATAATTACATAAGTTGTTAAACTTCTATGAGAACGTGAATTTACTATTATGGATTTTCAGTCATCAGACAGCTTGCTAATCAATTGCATTTGGCTTTCTTTTCAGTTTGTAATGCCACCTTCTTTTTTAAATGTGTGTCAGGCTCCTGTACTTACATTTTCACTGCAGACGAAAAGCAAATCTGTCATTCACGGATATCTTACAGTTAAATTGTAGGTTCCTAAGCTTGGGCGTAGGCGTTGACCTGAGTGTTGTTATTGATGACGCTCAAGTCCCGTCCCTTGCCCTTGTAATTGACATTGAAGATTTTGCAGACAGTGGCTGAAGCTTAACTGATGCCGGTCCAGATCGTCGCTCTGTATACGTGATGAAATCGCGCGTTTCCTTTGCAGTGTGTTTCATGAATTGACGCAGTTCCTATATTCCTGTTTTTGCAGCGTGCAAGAGAAAAGAACAGGAACACGGCAAGGGAGAGAGGGGCAACATCACCAAAAAGCCAAGGCTGGTCTTCACGGATGTCCAACGTCGAACTTTACATGCAATATTCAAAGAAAACAAGCGTCCGTCCAAAGAATTGCAAATAACCATTTCCCAGCAACTGGGTCTGGAGCTCACAACTGTCAGCAACTTCTTCATGAACGCGCGGAGGAGGAGTCTGGATAAGTGGCAAGACGATGGGAGCACCAACTCAGCCAACTCATCTTCCTCATCGAGCACTTGTACCAAAGCATGAAGGAATAACTGCTGACTGGACCTCGGTGGAAAAGCTTTAAAAAAAAATACCAGGACCTCAAGAAGACAGTTTTTTTTTTCCTGAAAACTGTTTGAGAAAAAAGACGATACAATATTTATAATATCCAAAGAAAACCAAAGACTTCTTTCACCTGCATTATTAAATACGTGTTCTGCAACACACCTTAGTGGGACATCTTGCAAAAAAAATACACTGGTCGTGCACCTTCACCCATGATCATCGTTTGAAGTATTTGGCTGTTATGGTGGTTTGAAGCATAGTGGTTCTTGTCATTGAATGGACATTATTTCTGCCCATGAGCCATTGAATTTATTTTGTTATACCACGAAGGTGTATGATGTAAAATAATGGAAAAAAAAACACTGTGTACGTACCAGTGGTTAGGGACCTTGTAGAACTGGCCTGCGATATGGGTTGTGCTGTGGCACAGCTTGAATGTTGTGGAGTCGTTTGTGTTCTGTTGAATATTTATTCGATTCCTGTCCGTCAGGACTTGAACCTGGGAGCTCAAAGATCCGGCTGTAAGTGTTCAGACTTGGTGGAGCCAACTTGAATGTCACCGAACACAGTAGTGCTTTCTTCCTAATTGTTAAGGAGTATACAGGAAAACCAGGATACACCACATACAAAAATATTCCAACTTATAGTAGTAATAATTACTTCTAATGTTATAGCATACCAAAGAAAAAACGTTATTTTTCAATGCAGATTACCCAAAGAGTACTTCCTACAAGATTACTAGGAGCTTTCTTTATGAAATGCAATTTATCATGTAAAGAAAATGTCTGTTACAATGTATTGTTTCTTAACGAGAGTTACCAAATGACATGGTTCAGTTGAGTTTAATTTTCTGAATTATTATTCCACTTAACAGGTAATAGCTGAATCCAAATATTTGTATGATGTCAGTGGGCATACATCTTATTGAGCTTTTACTCAGAAAAAATGCAATGTTTTTTACTCAGCATTAATCTTACTAGAATTTGATCGCACAATCAAATCAAAGATCTGCAATATCCTTTGCTACAGATCAGCTCATATTGTTTTAAAATCTTATTTTTAATTTGATAGTGACAGAAGGACACCCAAAAGCAATTAAATGTTCACAGATGAACAATTCTACATAGAATTCTACATTGATTCTACGAATCAAGGAACTTTAATATGAAGTGTAACTTTATTGAAGTGTATAGGCTACCATACCCGATTTCCAAACACAAACAACAATTTGGTGTGAATATGATTGACAAAAGCCTTCTGATATTTATATAGTGTGCTTATTTTGACAGCCTTTCTTCTGAGCTTTAATTTAGAAATACAAAGAGCTTTTTTGCACCAAGGAGTTAAAATCATCTCACCATTCACTTTATAAGATAGAATAACCTCTAATAACTCATAACACTATAAGAGATTGTTCATTTGTTTCATCTTCAAAAGTGGCGAGCCTTATCTGTTGTTTCTTTTTCATTTTGAATGCCTAATATTTTCAGGGAGATTGAAGGCACTGCTTTCTAAATGCTTTAAATATATTTTGTATTAAACACTTACTAAATACCAGCTGCTAACAACCAAAGATATAAGCTTATTCATTAGCATTGCATTGCAAAACTTCAGGCTGAATCAAGACCTTATTATTTCCTTGCCAAAGCTAATCCACAGAGTATGTATGACACAGGTCAAGCCTGTCTACTTACATTGCACCCTATCTATAAAACTCTCCTTTGCACCAAATGTTCAGGAACATTAGTTTGGAAATAAAGCTTTATAATATAATTTTAAAAAGTCAAAGTAATTTGTCCCACACAAGCTGTTTTTCAGATGTTTATAGATAAATTACATAGTGCATGCAATCAAAGTGATAGCATATAAAATAGTTTGCTACCCAGGCATCTTTTTCAGCCACATGATGCATCTTTAAAGCATGTACCTACTATTTTTATTCATTGTATGTATCCAAAAATATACCAAGATATAAAAGGAAAAGTGATATGTCTTTAAGATAAACCTGATTATAAAGCATCTTTTATGTGAAATGTTACGGAACAGTGAATTCAGATAGTGTATATAGCATACCATTGATGTAGCATTGCTACTGGTGTAACATGGAGTAGGTTGAAATACATGGCCCTGAGGGTCTGACCTACAGTGTGACACAAAGGGGAAATTTTACTAAATTAGAGCTTGGACTATTTTCAGAGAAGACATCCAATTTTCCACCACATCAAATTAACACCCCTCAAGGACAATAGGATCCTAGTAATTACTGAAGTTTTCCCCAAAGAACACCTGCCATCAGAGTTCAAAACCAGTAGCATTTTCAGACAAATCAGTGAATAAAACAAATCAATTACAGTGAGGTATATTAAGTTTGAAATGACACTATGTTAACAATCAGAAGAAAGGTGCTTCTTTCTGATTATGAGATATCCCATGATTATTGGAAAAAAAAGTTTTTAGCACGACTTGGCTTGACATTCTTTTAATATAGATTTTGCATTCGCTTTTGTGCTTTAATTATTTGATCACATATTTCAACACATTCAGGAGTTATTTTTTAATTCATTCAAAATAACGAATATGTTTTTTGTATTATATTCCTAACAGAATTTAGAATTTCTTACCAAAGCCGCCATAAGAGAGATTTAACCAGTCATCAGAATGTGTACAGTTTTCTGTCCTGAAACCCCTCTGTCCTCACTGCTTGTGAAACTGCAGTTGACTTAAATATAAACTATAGCACAGTAAGATGGATTTCATTGTTTCTGTTTCTTTGAAGTTTCATAACGTCCCTCAATCTACCGAGAATGGATGGAAACTATGCATTTAACAAATGGGAAGAAAGCACTGTGTATGCCTATGATATCCTGACCAGGGTGCATTCAAATTGAAGAGGCCCAATGAATGAATGGTAGTCCACGGTTTTAACACTTTTCTGGCCTTGTTGTTTCTTGTGGTGTGGTTAGCTTTACAAAAATATATTTGGTAACCATTTACTAGTATTACAACGAAGAAGCAAAGTTAAAAAATAGCTGCTTCCACATGTAAAAAAAAAAGAAAAATGTGTAGAAATCTACTATTTATAGTGTGAACCAAAGACGCTACCTCACTCGATTTCCATTTGTGATTCTAATCACATTGATGATACCAAAGAATACCAAAGATTTTTTTCCTGCACGGCCTACATGAATGAAGTGGTGGATTTTTGGTGTCCTTCCTTCCTCCCCTTGACCTTGACCTAACTCAGTGTAACCTTTCTTCATTAGAGAAAACCAATATTTAAAAGCTATAGGCAAACATGTTGCAAACTTTGTAAAACTCACAGGACGAGTGCCTTGCTTGAACCAAAGTGTTAAACCACTGTTGACCTCTATGATCTCACCTTATACTCTATGAATACCTCAGCCTCTCGAAAGGCCACTATCGAAGACAAAAGGAATAATTCTTTCACTGTGGTGCTTTTGCCAGTGCAACCATGCAATGAAAACATACCAAAGGATTTTTTTTCCACTTTTTTGCTGACAAACCAAAGCTCTTTCCTTCATACACACGCTCCTCCCTCCTTGCCCTATTGCGTCATCTTTAGGAAGCTCCACCATGTAGGTCGTGCACTGCTTTTACCAATTTCTCTGAATACCTCATAGTAATAAATCCTTAGGGTTATGTTGTATAGAGAGTCTATGTGATTAAGGCAGAACTTAACTAGTTTGATAATTGTTACCGTTACTTCAGAAAAAAAGCTTTATAATTATTTATTTTGTAGTTTTGGCAGAACTGCCCTGTTTTGCTCACGGAAGATGTGTTTTGAGAATTGGTGTAGTGTGGCAGGAAAGAAAGAAAAAAACAGACTTTTATTTTTTATTACGATTTTTTGTGTGTTACTCTAATGATCGTAGACTATTCTTTTTTACAGGGTAAAACCAACTGCTGTGATAATGTGTTTATATTTTTCCCTTTTTGCTACTTATGTGTTGTGATTTGATTTAATTTAATTGCATTTTTTGTATTGCTTATTTAATCACTACTTTAATTTATGCATTTGTAGAAAATATAGATTTGTATATAGTAGGGTTTGGGAAAAAAAAAAACAATACAGAAAAATACAGCCAAAGTTTTATGTTACACCTTATTTTTTCATGCTTAGATATGATGAAGGAGTGGGATTTTTTATTGCAGGGTGTACCTTCAACTATGTCTCAGCAGGCACTTCAATATGTGTTATAAACACTGCCAGATACCAAAAAAAGTTGAATTGCCAATGACAACAAGGTTTTAAAGATGTTACTTTGTTACTCAAAAGGCAAAAAGCAGTGTATGTGGTTTTTTAAATTATTTTGACTTTTTAAAAATGGTTCTTTTATGGGTAAGACTGCACATCCAAAGATTTATAAAATGAAAAAAAAAAATGAAAAAAAAATGTTTAATGTTGAAAAGCACTGGCATTTGTGAGGTAGAACTTTTGAGTTTTCATTTGACCATTCGCACAGGTACAGAACGTAGAGAGCGTAGAACTTTGTAGACAAGCTAACCTGACCTTGGGGACATCCTGTTTAATGTACAATCTGAAGCTTTCCAAAAAAAAGGACTGCAAGTCCTTGTTACTTTGCTGGCTCATGCACTGAGTGAGATGTGGACTTGATAGGGCAGCCGGCCTGCCAGGCAGCTGTGACACACTGCTGGGTATATTTTTTAATGTGGCACTGCTGTCTAGTTCCCTCTAGTATCTGTTACTTTGGGTGCATACTCGTGTAATGATAATGAGCAAAGTCTAATAAATCTGCAAAGCAACTGAACCAATCAGTGTGTACGTATATATGAGACTGCATGGTATGTCATTTACAAAACAAGAATAACAACAACACTTGAATTATTATCAAGGATGTTCCTTCCTCATTAGGTTGAAAAATGAAAACAAAACAGGCCCATACATTAGGAAAGACCAGCCTATCACAGGTTTATTTCAGTGGTTTTAATATAAAATTACTATAGCATAAGATATTTTTGTTGTTTGTTATCAGCTAAAAATGGTCTTCTTTCTCATAACAGAGGTTATTATGCTCTAGATGGAGGGATTTAATAAGTAGTAAAGGTAGACTAATGTGATTTTTTTTTCATCCACCACTATAAAGGAAAGCATTCAATTATCTTATACATCCAGGAGTTAGTATTATATTTTACTCCAGACAGTTTTAAAACTAATGGCTACTCTGCTTAATACAGTAATATGCTTTCAAAGCCCATATGTTTAAATAGCAAGTCATCTGTATTTTTGAGGTGCACTTTAAGGGGAAAATATTTTTAGATGCTCGGAATAAAGAAAAAGCACTGCTAACTTTGTTATATCTAAAGCCTGCATAGGCTTTTATTGTATAAAATACAATAAGATTGAGCAAGAACTAGAAGGAGTGAACAGATCTTCAATAAAATGTGTATTATCCAAATTGAAGTGGCATCTTAAGACATTGGGAAAGATTAAAATTAGGCCTTTAAAAGCAAGAGAAATCGCCAATGTAATGTATCCTCAGTCGCCAAACTCCAGCTTGGACAAAATACAGTTGTTGTTTTTTTCTACAGACATACTGTATATTGTTATTAATACAATTCCTGAATGTATAACAAGAATCTGGCATAGTTTCAGACAACATAAATTAAGCTTTAACTTTTTTGACAAATTCAAGTGTTCCTTCAAGTACAATCCTATGACAGTTCTTGGAAGTGTGTGTGAGTCTTATTATGGCTATGAATTAGCAGCTTCAAGAAAAAGGGGGTCTCCCACATGCAAGATAGCTTGACTACTAGTAACAAAACTGAGAGCGCCAAAGACAATCACCGGAAAAACAATGATGGGTAGCTATAGACTCTTCCACAAGCAAGAGGGAGTTCTTCCAACAGTGAAAATTACAAAGAGGTTTAGAAGGTTTTGATAAAAGAAAAAATAACTTGCTTACATTTTTCAAATTAGAAAGCAGTAGTTGTTTATGCGTTTGCATCTGCATTTCAGACTAAGTGATTCTTGTATCTGATTACAGTTTATTGCAAATATTTTGTCAATCTCTCCCTTTCTCTCTTTCTCTGTCAAGCGCTTCTTATGTATTTTTGTGTGTAGCTGAAAAGTGGGTATTACTATAGGCATTCCTCAGGTTTCTTTAAACAGTAGGTATTTTTCCTGTAATGCTTCACAGTTTTCTTTGTAATTTAGTTTCTGTTTCTTCCGGCTTTGCTACTGTTCTCTCTCTATGCCGTGCAATATCATCTGCTGTGTTTGCTAAGCAAAAAAAGAAGCAAGTGATGATGTCATCATGCTTTTTCAGTGTTAAAATGTTTCAGCGTTTCTGTAGTCACAAAAATGTAGAAAATAAAATGTTGGGTTTTCCAGCACTTTATATTTGGATTTGGTCTTGTCATTTTATCTCACTGTTTAATCATTTGTTCCTGTCGGTATTTTTATTTTATGCATGAATTCCAGTCTCACATGAAACCATTTGTAAACTAAGGATACACCTTTATACTTCTCTGTCTTCAGAAAAATTATGAAACTTTCAATCAAGAAACATTTCGCTTGTCTTGAGCTAAATTTGTCTATATTTCCCTGAAGCATCTATTGGCCTAACTTTAAAATCCAGCATTATAGTAGTATTTTATTCATTTACCTGTGTTTTAAAACTCAGCGGACCAGATTCTTCTTTTACTTCTGTTTGTCTTTCTTTTGTCCAGCAATGGATCTAGCAGAAACATTTCTGGGGACAAAACTGGGAAAGCACGCTTTCAAAGACTGACAAGAGAAACATGAATTACTGTTGTTTGTGAGCCAATATATGTTCTTGACAAACTTTATTAACTTTGAAAGAAATGTGTTCAAAATATTTCCTACTGTGTATAATGTAAGTGGTAAAGCCTGTTCACATCAATCAATTTAAGATTACTATCACCATAATGTTTAATGATGGCTCTGTGGCTAAGGATCTGCGCCTGTGGCCGGAAGGTTGCCGGTTTGTATCCCATGGCCGGCAGAGGAATCCTGCTCCACTGGGCCCCTGAGCAAGGCCCTTAACTCCAACTGCTCCAGGGGCACCGTATAAATGGCTGACCCCGTGCTCTGACTCCAAGCTTCTCTCCTTGTCTGTGTGTCTCATGGAGAGCAAGCTGGGGTATGCGAAAAGACAAATTCCTAATAACAGAAATTGTATATGGCCAATAAAGCGATCTTAAAGATATTTGTAATTGGTGTAAAATTCACCAAGGGTTGCAGATACAGAAAGGTACAGAGACATTGACATGTTGCATCAAATTAGGTCTTTGTAAAAAGTCTAGTTCTACACTTTGCAGGCTGCACAACAGTGAGGCATGCCTTCAAGGCCCTGAGTTGATAATTTCTATCAGATTAGAATGCATCTATAGGAAAGCTCAGTGATTTCCAAAAACATTCCAGTCATAATCAATGGTGTTAAAATCAAGCAAACAACATGGGCCAATCCACACTTGTGCTTCTTTTGTCTCCTGGTAAATCAGCAATCAGCTTGGTGATCAGCCCACGTCTGTCATCTGCTACATCAGCCAGCTGTGGGCAACCCTAGTGTCATCCTCAACAAGCATCTCTCATCTCCAGGAAGTTTATTGCCTTGTTCAGGCTATAGAAGACAAGCAGTCTTAGTCACAGACAGAACTGGACACAGGGCTGAAAAGATATAAAAGAAGGAGATTAAAGAAGGTAAAAGCTAGCAATGGTGACTGCTTTTTCCTTTGGCCACATCGATCACCTCTTGCACTTCTGAAATATTTGACTCTTCCTCCATTTAGCAGATTATTACAGACACCAAAACGTCCTGGCTACTGCCGGTTCAGAAAAGTACTCAGAAACTCCAATGTTTTCTCCTCAGCTAAAGGCAGTATACAATGACCGTGAATTCTACAATTACGGCAGGATTTTTATGCAAATATTTTTTCTACAGATCCTGGTCTATTGATTCAAGCTACATCTTAGCAGTATGTGAGCTAATGATTTAACAATTTCTCTTGTTTGATTTCAGATTAATTCCCTCATGTGGTCCTAGAATATTTTATGATACAGTACTGCAATTATTGAGCAATTAAAAAATCAAGCACTGTTTCTTACAATCTAAACGTTAATCCATTTGTCATTGGTACATTACAAATCTATGTTGTTGAAATATTGGATGTATCTATACAAACATAATTAAAGTCTTCTGCCATTTATTACAGTGAGATACAATTGTAATTTAAGTATATCTAATCATAGTGCTAATATGGAGATATATTAAATGCTCAAGTAGGCACACCCGAAAAAAGCTCAAAGCCGAAATGTTGTTTCTTTTCTTCTCTTCGCAGCATAGAATTAACCTTAACTTGTTCCTATGTTAAATGCTGTCTGGACAAAACGCATTTAATGTAGTGTAGTAAGAGGAGAAAATTGTGACGGCACACAGTAAAAAATTATTAAAACCTTAGATTGTAACTTCATACTACAATTTTAGATAGTAACTAACGGTCATTTCTTGCAATAGATTATTTTGCTATCTTCAGCGACTGAAAAAAACACACACAAAACAGGTGCACTTGTTATTTTGTATAAAGCCCTTCAAGCAGAAATTACTTCGCCTGTCATTACAAACCACAAACGCCAGGGGGAGTAAGTGCATTACAGTATATAAGTAAATATTACTTTTTAACCGTTTTTCAGTGCTAAAATGCTAGCATGCTCGAAGAATTCACAAATAATCAATATTTCAAACGAAGCAGGTTATTGAATCCGAATAAAATACAAAAGCTTAAGGATATAAGAAATATTACAAATATCCAATTGGTTGCAAGTAGTTCATTACAATTTTTTTTTCTTCACAATGTTCCACACATTGTGATTAGATGTTAAAATGCATATGTATATACAGCCATATTATATTGCAATTACAATCACAGTAGGGAGTATTTTGGTATAACCTATTGAAAATGCTTGTCAGATGTTTAACGATATGCATTAAGTGCAATACGATTCCAGATTAAGGTAATATTCTGTATGCTTTAGTTTCTTATCTGTTTGTAGAGTACTAATATCAGAGAGGGGGCTGAAAGGTCAATTAAGAGAACTGTTTACAGCCAGAAGCGAAACAAGGACACAGAAATACCAATGGTACTTAAAAGGAACTTCTGTACCTAAATGTTAGGTTCTGTACCTAAATGTTAGGTACAGAACTGTGTCCTCACACGTTTTTTAAATTGATTTCCAGAATACTTTAAAAAACGGTTGGAACAAGTCCTTAAATCAAGACGTCGATGGAGTTGTGTGAAATCTAGGCCAACAACCTACCAATTACACTACTTACTGTAGATCACGAGGTTTTTCTTCCTTTGGCGACCTTACCACTAGATGGCCTCACAGAACTGTTTCAGGTAATACATGCTTACAAAAATTATTTAAAACGGAAAAACTTGAATTTACCCATAGGTTAGGAAGAAATTCTGACAACATTTCTTCGTGTTAAATAAATATAAAATGACAACATATTACATATGTAGTCATGATAACGTATTTTTTTTCAGTCATTTTATAAACGGAAAATAACATTTTCACAAATTTTGTTTAAAACTGTTTTAGATGAGGTCATGACTATTCCAGTACTTGGACAGAACTCCAAGTCCAGTTATTTTAGAAAAAAACATTTTTTTTTTTTAGATTAATGCAAATGATGTACATGCACAGAATACATTATTTTCTGAAACACTTCCATTAATGTACATAATAAAAACATTACAAAAACAAAAAACTAAATTTAAAGTTCACATTTAGTTACATTTTTTTCCCTAAGTGGCCCTTTCAATATCTGTTCTCCACACAAATAATAATTAAATACACTTCTATTTGGTATTCTATGTAAACAATTCCATCTTTCTTTTCATTAGAAAAGTTTTTAAAATGATATGCTATCCATTAATTTAATTCTCTCACTCCCTGACCACACATAAGATTTATTTTTCTAATCCACTAAGTATTGTTCCTGAATACCAGGAACCAATATGCTCTCATTCAACCATTTTCTAACTGTTTATTCCAATTCAAGGTCATGGTGTAGCCAGAGCCTATTCCAGCAAGCAAGAGGTGCAAGGCAGGATACACCCTGGATGGGATGCCAGTCCATCGGAGGACAGGCACAAACACACACACACTCACAACATGGTTGTTCCCAAAAGCCATTTAAACTACCAGTATGTTTTTGGAATTTGGGAGGAAACCACATGAACACGGGAGAACATACAAAGTGGACTGGACCTGTGGTGTGCAGCTGAAATGAAGGATTTTCTATTTGAAGACACCTCTTTAAAAAATGGTTTCTCCAGAACCTCTTAAATTTTAGAGATTAAGAAGACTGGTCAAAATCTGAAAGAAGGATATTTAAAATAAAGGCCCTTGACAAGGAACAGAAGACTGGATAAAATTCATTCATCGTTGACTTGGTAAATAATTCTCTGTGCCTACAACACAAAAATGACTATACTAGGTCGCTTCTATCTAGCTTTTAAAGCTTACAAAGATTTTGGGAAAACACTATTGTGGTCAAATCTTCCTGAATGTATAATATTCAACTTTCTTGGATCACATGTTGACTGACATACAGTAGGATACCTAAGACAATAAAAAAGGTTGCAAATGAAAGGACCCATCAAGCTCATTTAATAATAATAATAATAATAATAATAATAATAACATCACTTTATTAACCCTTTACAATTTCTTGTATTAGGAATTTGTCTTTTCACATACCCCAGCTTGCTCTCCATGAGACACACAGACAGGGAGAGAGCATGGGGTCAGAGCGCAGGGTCTGCCATTGTACAGCGCACCTGGAGCAGTTGGGGTTAAGGGCCTTGCTCAGGGGCCCAACGCAGTAGGATTCATTTGGATGCTAGCTGCTAATTGATCTAACGATCTCATCTCTCATCTCAGGCAAGGGTGTCAGCTTCAATATGATCGGGTAATGTGTTTTAGACACCCACAATCCTTTGTATAAAATAAGTGCCTAATTTTCTCAGTTATAAATACATTTCTCTGTACAGTATGTACAGTAAGTCCCATGGTGTGTGTTTGACTATTGTTTCTGAAGAAGTCCACGGGATTGACTTTGTCAATGCCTTTGAAGATTTTGACTAATTGGTCCTGTTTCAGTTATTTCTGTTCGAGCCTGAAAACATTCAGTTTTTTTGGCCTGTCAGTGCAAAGAGTTTCTTTAAGCCCAGCTATATTTCTTGTTGCTCTTCTCTGGGTTGATTCCAAGAGCAGCAATACGTTTTCAATAATATGGTGTCAAAACTGTAGACTGTATATTCTTACCAGTAAGTCTTACTACTGCATCGCACATTTTAACAGGATATCCCTTGATTTAAATTCAAGGATAAACCATGAAAAACTATGGATGGATGCTGCATATTGTTGATGAAGGAAAGTCCTCATTTCCTGTAAAGTGCTTTGAGTGGAGTGTCCAGAAAAGAACTATATAAGTGTTAACAATTTATTATTATTTTTACTAAGCCAAACAATGGAACAACTAACAATTTGTGAATAGTGCAATGAATAAAGCAGCTCAAAGCCTACATGATCAGCTAGTAATCGTATTAGGAGCTACTGTTGATAACATTATGAGATCGAAGATCATGTTATTTATCATCAGTGCCCTGAGATATGATTATAGAGATTTTAATGCACACTTTGGTGTAGTCTGTAATGGCAGATTGTAAATGCTTAAAATACTTAGCACAAGAAAAAATTGTCTTTTTCTTGGAATGGATATTGTAAAACATATACTTAATTTTATTAATGTTTTTATAGTTGTAGTTTACTTTTGGAATTATTCCTACAGAAGTTTAATATGTTGGTTAAATTTTAATAATAAAACTATGAAACTGCATTCTTCATCGTCAGCCACATCTTTTAAGATGGAATTCCAACATTTGACAACATGACAGCTTCTTTCAGGAGTTGCAAAAAATTAATCAAGTGCCTACCCAGTTTGTGTCAGATTTGCATTCTTTGTTGGCTTAAAATCAAAGTCATTTCAAATTCTCAATGTAATCTTTTCACACACCTCCCTCCAGCTATAAAATGTGTCAGAGGGATAAACAATAGCATTTGATTATAATGCAAAAGTAGAAAATCCCGTTTGGTCTTCGGAAGTTTGCATCTTTGTCAGCTGGTTTAGGGCATATGAATGGTAGGATGTCTTTTAACAGCATGGGGTCTGTGCCCAGCTGCATGGTTTAAATGAAGTTCATTTTTCTCTTAGTATTCTCAAGGTTCAAGGATGATGTACGAAGACGCAGAATGCATTCAGGTCAGTACTTACACGTTGAATACTAAGCTTTCAATTATTGTTGTGCAACCACAGCCTGAATTGATGGGAAATCTGCATGTATTGTTTAAATATGCAAACGCATTTTAAAACGTTCAAACTCACATTAACAAAGCTGAACAATGCAGCATAAAAATACCCACATTTAGAACCTTACCTTCACCAAAGTATAACCGTATGCTTTTAAACCATTTTTTTCAAGCAAGCCGTAACACAGGGATGGGAAAATATGGTGTAATGTATTGATTCTGGTGTTTCTATAGCCTCCTAGAACAACGAATCAGATGTTAACTTTTCAACTAAGTCGAGGTTCGTTTGATAACTATTTAATTACCTATAGAAAACCTATAGAACGTATTTGGGGATAAATTAGAGTAATGCACCATCATTGCATTTAACTTAATGCGTACCCTGTGTTAATTTCTGTGGATATGATAAACGGCATGCCTTTGTAATAAACGTTCCACTTGTTTTGCCTTTATAAAAGAAAGTTTTGAGAAGTTTGAAGCTGTACGGTTGCCATGACGGCGAGTTCACCCGAGGGCTGAGGCAGGGAAGTGACGAATGGGGGCGAGCTGTTGTTGGGACACGTGACCTACACAGGCTGCCTTGATCTGTTTTGACAAGCGATGGAGAGGCTTTAAGATCCGCAGAGGCAGAGCAAGAAACGAGGGACTTAACTGGGGAAGAGGGGGGTGTTTTAGTAAGAGAGTGAGGGAGCTAAAACAAAACGCCAAGAAGTCGGCAAATGACTCCCTATTTCAGAGAGTTATCCTGCGTAACCGAGAGCAGTTTGAAACACCTGAAGTCGTCTGGGTGTCGGTTGCAAACCGAGACTTGATGATTAGAGGACAGCCGTGGACTGGGAGACTTGAAATGAGAGCGTACCGAGAGGACAGATAGAGAGAGGGATGTTTTTTCAGGGCGACGGAGAAGGGGGCATGTGTACAACAACATAACATCGCTTTCTTCTCCGAGGCGCGATGGTTCCTGTTGAGTAGACCGGGCGCGTAGTATTTTGTTTTTCGGTGACAGAGGGGACGAGATAGCAAGTTCTCTACCTGTACGTAAGTGGCAGTCGACAGGGGTGTCCGCATTAGATGGCTGGCCGTATCTAAGCTTAAGACGGAGAGAGAAATGAGAGACGATTATCTTTACCTCAGGTTGGAATAGCACCGGCTCATTTCTTAATTAATTAAGACTTGAGGCTGGTTTGCCCGTGGTTACCTGGTAAGGATGGAGTAGCCTGTCATCGGCACAAACACGGGTCTGCTTTTGTGAGAGAGCTCTAGCAGACACGGTGGACCAGGCTTTTAGTGTTACCGAAGAAAGGTTATGTGTTTGTGGGGTTCAGACCGCGTGTGAGGGTGACAAAGACACCCCGCGATCGAGGAGCCAGACGAGGAAGCGGAGGGGCTACGGCGAGCCGGGGGAGGCCGACGGAGAGAACACGCAGCGGGGATCTGAACGACACAGCGTCGACACCGGCGGAGACATGAAGTCCGATCGAGGTAAACGGATCAACACTTTTGTTTCCTTCCAAATATTAACCGTCACTCGTAGTTGTCGCCGTCTTTGTCAGATGCCAGGTATTAAGGCCGGGGAAGTCGTGTTTTTCTTTTGTTTCTTCAGTACAGGAATGCTCTCTGTACTGTTTGTTTTCCCGGGGGAACTGGGGTGGCTGTAACAGCTGTGTAACTGCTCATCTAAATGCATGTCAGCAGCAAAGCCTTTGTTTCACGGAGTCATCCGTTTTTGGTAATGTTATAATAAAATGAGAAGTATAAATGAAGCGATTTAAATGCGTTCTTCGTAGACGATTCATATATTTAAGGTGACAGAGCAGAGGATATCGAGATCGTCTACCTATTATGTCAAATATTCAGATTACTGGGTGGCTTAATTTTGCTTCAAAGGTGTTGTCTACATTGCAGTTTTTTTTTTACAGCGACACCAATGAACGAACAGCTGACAAACATGCATCCGGTTTTGTTCAGTGTAATTGTTGGTGGAGTTGTGTCCTGTGCTTCCTGGTAACTCTTCTGAGAGCTACACAGCTAACCCTAGGCCAAGGTGTCACCAGAGGCAATCTTACATTTTCTATTAACATTAATGATCTTATCAGAATAATGTCTACTTGATGATATCTGTATTTTCTTCTATTTCAAATTCCACCTATTTGCAATTACAGTTTGCACTTCAAAGGAAAAGCAACATTTTTAGGTTCGCTATAATTGCTGTAGGTGAATTTACAATACTTAGAATGAACAACTAATAAGAAGATAATGGCATAGCAGTTTTATGTTTTTAACTTTACAAGGTGCAAGCCTTAAGCTAAAAACGTGTTAAATATTTCAAACTTGTTAATTTGTCTTCGAGAATGATATTGCCCTGTGAATACTACCACCAGTACATTTGGTATTGGTTTATGACACAATGTATATGACTCTTTGGACCTTTGACTACTTTTGTGATGTATAAACATCCCTGTTGTTTTGTGCTTCCAGTACAACCAGATTTATGGTTTATCTGTTAGTCTGTGAGTCACAATAAGTTAAAGAAGTAGCTCGGCAATAGAAAATTATATATTTAACTGCACCTTATTTAAAGATCCACTAAAAGTTGATGAATGCTGCGCTATACTGTATATTGTTGTAGATGGTAATGTGCATATCCTGATTAAACCCCTGGTATTCTGTCGCTTACCTT